TCTATCTATCTATCTATCTATCTATCTATCTATCTATAAAGAAAGTGAATTTGTTGGCTCAAATCATATGCCATTCTCGAAATATGTGCGTGTGTTTGTTTGCGAACTCAACAATGACAATTCAAAACGTTTTTACCTCCAAGTAGAACTTTTTTGCATCGAACATCGTATCCTTTTCGTTTTGTCCTAATGTGCACTGTTTTATTTAAGATGAAGCCGAACCGCCTTCTTCTGAATCAAGTGCTGAACTCGGGGGGATAATGCGCAAAGAGACTGCTTCTCTTGCAACGGAAGAAAGGCGACACTGGAATCAGCGAGAAGTGGAAATCGCCAGTCCGGAGAAGGAAGTGACCGGTTCGACCAGCGATTCTCAAATGTTGAAGTCGACTGATGAGTTTGACTCTTTGTTGGTGGAAGGAGTGAGTTTTATTCACCCACCAGCAATCAATTAAACTGTCAGTAATCGTGTAGGGCAGAGACAAAAGGAAATATGGTATATTTTTTCCGTTCGGGCAAAGACGATACCAGCCTTAATTTATTCTTTTATTAGGGAGAGATACATTAGTTTAGATTGCTTTTTGTACCGAACTGATAGCGAATATGCTCACGGTTAATAGGAGAGAAGGCTTGGTTGTTGCCACATAATTCGTACATCCACGGTTTAAACACCGCTGAGAGTGATAGTGAGGCTTAGACGGGCTGTAAACCACAAACGAGCCTGAGTGGGAGAAACATTTTGTGGCATATAACGAAGTGAAATTGAATACAAAATCAAAATTCTTATTTCATTCATTGTGGGCAGTCACTAAAAATGATAGAGGTTTACTGTCGTCATCGGTTTCTTAAAGCTGAAATAAACTTTTACTAATTTTCTATTTCGTGAGAAGACATTTCCATAATTTTCCAGTCTTTATTGGCCACTTTTAAAGGCTTATTTAAAGTACAAACACACAAGAAATGGTTCCATTTTGGGGTAATTCATTAAAAGCTGTCTGTGCAAACACCTACACACAAATTATAGGTCACTCACTAACTCATTCATTACTGATTGAGCCCTGGTTTGTTAGAGTCGGATGATCCGCCAGCTTAACAGCAAGCTTACATTTCCATTCAGCACAACTTGTCCTCAGTCAGCTCAATTAATTTAGTTGATGTTGTCACTATCACTTTCGTGACTTATGGTGCCAGATCTCGAGTTTCAGAAGATGTCACTTCTATGCAGACAATGCTATGTAAACGGATACTCAGTGATGTAAGAAGAAATTGTCGATGCTGCCATGCAACTCATAACCTGTGTGTGTGTGTGTGTGTATATGATGTGTATGCTTATGTGCTCTCATGTGCATGCGTATGTACGAAGCCATCAGTGATAGCTCAAAGTAACTACAACAGCACGTGACTATCACCTCTTACCTATTTCTATTCGAACTATGATTCCGATTGTCCAGCATCGGACAGACTTTTGGTGTGAATTGATGCGATTTTTGCATGTGCGTGTGTGTGCACAGAAGAGAGGGATAGTGTTTAGACTAAAATGTATGTAGAGTGTGTTGGAATTATTATCAACAAAAGATTAGTTGAGTCACCTCCATTTCCCGGTGGCCCAGCACCCACTCCATCATTGAGTCTATCCATTAAGAATAAGTAGTTATTACTTACCTTTAATGTATTGCCTAGTCGGTTGATTATGAAAGCCTTTAATTTTGCAGGCATATCATAATCACAAAACCTTTAAGTTTAGATTATCCTATCTCATGTCCAGTTTCTGCTGCGTGCTCTGCCTCTGATTTTTGAGGTCAACGTCCGACATTGCACAAACGGAATAATGAACAAAATAAAAAAGAAATGTATTCAACCAAAGTAAAAACTGACAAATTGGCAGTCGTTAAACCCTAATAGTAGATTACAGACTTTACGATATGCTGCAATTACCTTGAGCTGTCACTGCAGCTTTCATGCATCTACATGCACATGAAAGCACATAATCACACACATGTTCCTTGATTGTGATATAATTTGAATTAGCTAAACCACTGTATATCCCATCAAAATGCATAGGTTTTGAGCATGTAGAGATAAACCGGCGAGTTATTTTGCCCCATCAGCCTGAATATGGTCGTAAGCATCATATTTTTCGAATTAAGTATTGTTTTCATGACTACCAGTAAATCAGTAATGTGAGATTTATTCACCCAATTTCGTTTAAGATGATGAATGATTGGTAGAAGAAGAATTTTCCCACAACGATATGATTGAGCTGACTCATATCATTGTGGGAAAATTCTTTTTATACCAATCCTTCATCACCTTAAACGAAATTGGGTAAATAAATCTCATATTGTAAGAATCATACTCTGCGTGTCTAAATGGGTGCATTCACATGCAGTAGTTTACCCAAGCGACTTGTCCCCTAGCCTGCCTTATAAATATATGGAATAGTAAAGATGGTTTTTTTCCTATAAACATTACCAAGATTTTGATGTGTTATGTATGGATTTGTTGCTATAGCTATTTTAAGGTGTTAAAGACCTGATATTTTAAGGTTTTTTATCTAATTTTGTCAGACTATAGCCGGAAATGGATTGATGTAAAATACTGATTTAAAACTTATTTTGCGATCGTTGTTTCCCCAGTATCTTAAAGAAATTCCTAATGTATAATGACCAATATGAATCCTTACTTTCATATATTTCTTACTGTGTTATGACTGATTTAATACTGCTTCTACAACATACGTGAAGAATGATGTCTAACCTATAATTAAACTGTTTCTGGCGACAGATGTCCTCCTTAATGCAACTTGATTGTGTTGCCCTTTTCGACATCACAAATCTTTTATGCCCCAGATGTGCTTTCCCAATCGGTTTCGTCTACAATTGCAGGCTTAGTCAGCACTTCTAACAGGAGGTTAAACCTGCTAATTCGAATAAATACGCAGCAACACCGAGTTGAAAGATACTTGCCGTTTTCCGAATGGACTAGATTTTAATTAACTCATATCTCGTGTTTGTAAACAATTGCAAGGCCAAAGTGTGTTAGCATAAAGTCAAGTTCTGATATTCAAATGATTTCAATGGCTTATCGCTTGTAGATTTCAGGACCCAATCTTTCATTCGAATTTAGTACAAACTTTAGTTTGACTTACCTGCTAGTGGACCACATGTACTGACAAAAGGCGCTAATTCTGCCTAAGATTTCGGTTGATAATACCATCGCTATCCCGGGGCATGGATACTTCAAAACAAATTATCCCAGAAGTTGATGAGTTAACTTGCAAAGGACATCAAGTCAGCAAAATCCTTTATAATGTACTCAAATATTGTTCTTATGTCTCCTTATATAAGCAGATTTTTCGAGGCTACCGGTAGATTTTAAAGCTGAGGTGTATTCACCCAATTTAGTTGAAGATGATGATGATTACTTTTCCATTCAATTTCACATAGTCTTGCCACCCCATAAGGTACTTTCCAGACTGGACTACAGTTTCGACCTCACCTCAGCTGGTCTCATTAGCACCCCCAGCGGGACTCGAACAATGACGATGCAGCGCGTACTCTCGACACGTTATCCACTACGCCGCACATTGCCACGAGTGCCTTTGGGTCACAGGTTCAAGTCCCGTGGGAGTGCTGGTAAGACCTAGGCCGGATGAGAATACCTTATGCGCAAGCAAGGCTATGTTAAATCAAATGACAATTTAAGGTCTATTCATATCATTGTGGGAAATTTCAACTATTAGTCTCCTTTCACTTTAAACGAAATTGGGTGTATACACCTCATAAATCTGATCTATTGTAAGTCTAGAAAACCTACTTATAAACGATTGCTATAGCAAATACAACTTTGCGTCGTCGATAATCCCACCACAGAATGTGATATGTCTAATCTTCATTCAAATTCATATCTGCCCTGTGATCCGAGTACGCTTGTGGCAATGTTTCGAGATTATACGCTGCGCTGGGATTGTTCGAGTCCTGCTAGGAGTGTTGACGAGACTTGCTCAGACAAGGTCGAAACTGTAGTCCACTCTGATTGGGAAAGCAAGCCTATGTGAAAGTAAATTGGAACGCATGGTCTCCTTATCGCTTTAAAGAAACTCTTATATGTTGTTCCTGTTTGTCTGTACATATACACATACTAATGCACATACGCCCAAATTCACATATAATCATCTTCTTGGCAAACTGGCAGATTTCACTTTTTCATCTCATACTCTCTTGATTTGTGTACATTCACCTTCCCACCCGAACATGTGCATGTTTGACCCTACAAAGGTTGCCTTGCAAAACCTAGTATTGCCACGCCGAGACGTCTTCAAGACGACCGAGGATTTTGTAGACGAAACTTTGTGGCTCGCGCACGAATCCACCGACTCCACTGCCAGATGCTCATCAGCGTCGACGGGAGTCCAACTTCGGCTACAGACTGGTCACGAATTGAGTCCTTCCAAGGCCATCATATCTCGTGACATCAGCGACCTGGACGGTCGAGGAGGTCTCGATAGGTGGTTTGTCATGCTTTAACTGTTAACTCTATATAATTGCAGATAGATTTATTTAACTATTTTTCAACATTTTTAACCATTAGATTGATAGTTTGGCGCTAAATTGTGCTGATTGCCATATTTTCCCCGATACTAGTCACGATGCTTATCGGCACAGTGACGGTAAGGATTTGTGAGGATTGAAGCACTTTGCCCTGCCTTACTTCCTTCCAGTCAGAAAAATACTTTTATGCTCGCCGGATTTGTCGCCACCATATTTGACAGAGATAGCAGCTGCTATGGATGTGATTTATAATTGTATGAAATTAAGTCTTTCCTTCAAAAAGAGAAGTCATTTTGAGCAGCTTCAGAAAAGAATATTATTTATTCTGTATTTTGATACAACAGTTGCTAACACCACACACATTACATGAATCGATGAGGATAAAATCACGACTATCACTTCACTTTTTAGGCCTGCTTCCTTGTCAACATGGAATGCCGGCCGTCTCGAGTGCTCGTGATGCAAAATATTTACCGACAGTTGCATTAATCGGGCCACAAGGCTGACACTATTTGTTGCCCAGTCAGAGGATTTGTTTAAATGAAATAAAACACCGTTTGGAAAGTTGTGGATGTGCGCCAAGTTGTTTAAGTGAACTATTTTACATGGCATAGGTTGCGCCAAAATCTATTTAAATATGTAGAGTAATGGGACCGGGTTTCATCGTAAACCCTTTATTACAACTTTCCCTTATGCCAAAATCTAGACAAGCCTGATTTCGAAAATCATCCCTATCGAAAATTAGGAGATAACAAATACTATTTGTCGCCCGTCACCACTTTAGTCTCTACCAAAAGTCCGCATGTGCAGTACAGTACTTAATGTGCATATAAAATGGCGCTATTGAGTCAGGAATTCACTATACTTTGCCCGCTGATGACAGGCTGAAGTTTACTTCTAAGTCATTAGCTTAGACAATTAGCCCCGGGTTTTTTCAATTCATGTCTTCACAAACGCTTTGTACTCGAAATAATGAATTTGACGTTATGCTCTATTTCTTAAGTTTACACACCACGTTAGACGATATACTACTTAAATTTCATCATTTAAAAGTGCTCTTCAATAGATGAATGGGGTGCTGTGTTTGCATTAGGCGGATTATTTATGACTTGGACAGAGAAACTCATCTGCTGGCAGACAAGGGATCCGAAAGTAAAAGTAATCCTAAGAAGCAGAAGATACAATTTACATCATAGAAACATTTACTTTTATTTTAGAGCTAATACGACAGCTCACTGTCTTTGACTGTGAGACCTAAAGGATACTTTGGGGAAGAGCTCTTGTACTCTTTTGAAATTTATTATCAAATGTAATATATTAAAAGGATTCATTTTGTAAATTTGCACGCTCTTAATTGTGGCTCAAGGTGTATTCACACAACATACTCTCTCTGTGGCTAAGTCTCCTTAGTATAATCATTTAGTATAATGTAAGCAACCACTGCAGGAAAATTTATTTAATTTTTTGGCGGATTCAGTCTCATCTCTACCATTCACATTTTGAAGTAGATTGCGTCTCTCCTTTAGGCCATGGTTTCCATCTTTCGTCTGTGAGCAAAGCTCTTTCAAGTTATAGCTAATTTTATCACGTATTATGCAATTCTTTTGGTAACTTTATGCCTATCGATACTTGCCGCATCTGTGACCATGGTCACATACAGATTGATAAATGGCATAAGAGTGGGCGGGGATATCTACTCCTTCCTTGGAGAATGTAGTACTAATTGGAATGAATGACCAAAGTGAATTTGGCTTTGTTTAAAAGTGGTCTGATCTAATTTTATCAATAGCTGTGACATTTCTCGAGGAGGAAATATGGGAAATGGAGATGAGAATAGCCCTGATCTTGTTGACACGTGGGGAGCCAAGAAACCAGAACAAATTTGCGAAGAGACGCAGGACCCTACAAAGGAATGGAAAATTAAACCTTCATGCGGATAAAGGAGTAGCGGCAGTGATAATGCATATAAAACAATATGCGGATAAGATAGAATGTATACTGCGAGATAGGACTACATATATTCAACGATGAGGATTAATGGAACCTTACGTGACATGCTGAAGGATACGCATAGGAACTCGGAAATTGACGCATGGACATAAAATGCAATCGCAAGAAAGTATACACATCCACCAGCAGCCTAAGTATTCTGTACCAAGTCTGATGGTCGACAATAAGCATGAAGCAACACACAAATTTGCAAAGTTCATGTTTGAAATGCAAGAAGTTAAACGACAGATTACCAAATACGGTGAAACATTTTTCAAGGCATCAAAAACATGGCACCGGAAGAAACAGAATTATTGGCAAATTTTGATGTAAAATTTATGTTCACACAAATCTCTGGAGCAAAGACGTTAATGGTCTTGCTGGAGATCTTGGACTGAGAGGAGGATATCCTGGAAGCAGACAAGATCAGGAGGAAGTCGTTGCCACGACTAATCAGCTTGACTAGCTACTTCACATTCAACAGTAACGTTTCTGAACAGATATTTGGACTTCCTATAGGATCGTCGCTCTCACCTCTTTTAGTAAACATGTACATACACAAATTAGAAACCAACTTCAGGGCGCTATCGTTGCAACGAAAGTGCTCATGTCGTACCTGGATGACTACTTTACACCTCGGTTGTGTGTAAAAGAAAAATTGAAGGATTTACTGAAGTTTATAAACCAGAATGATGAAAGAATCAAATTCACAACAGAATTAGGGTAAGAGGGGCTGGTTTGATGGTGAAGTCATTCGCTCCGTTGGTGCACTCAAGAGAAGAGTGTTCAGGAGGAAGTTATATGCCGGGATAGTAGTCAATTTCCAGTCCCATCACAAGTAGAGGCTAAAGATAGGATTAGTGGTGAGCATGATCACCAAAAGCCTACGAATGACGGACGTGGAATTCTGGGAAGAAGAATAGGAATAGTTGACTCGGATATGCCTTGACAACGGATGCACAAGAGAATTAATACTAAAAAATATACGGCCGTGAAAAAACGATGACAGAATGGGGACTATGAAAGAACTGTAAGGATGTAGAAAGACACACAACAGTGGTTATGCCTCCCTTTCTAAGAGCTAGCTCATGAACTACGCTGATTATTGCAATAATGCAATATTCAGGTGACAAGGACAAGAAAAAACAACAAGTTTACCCGCGCAATATGAGAGGGTGGACACATTATTTCTCAGTCTACGTATAGAAATATATTTGCGAATCAGGGAGAAAAATCAGCAGACAAATCAAAGAACATCAGAGCATATACACGTGAAGGATATACCGAAAGCGAGCTCAATTAGAAAGCAACAGAAAGAAGGGTCTCATACATGGGAAACACAAGAAAAGGAAAAATTACGGAGGCCATTAACATCCTTGTGGGAATAAATTCCCTGAACAGGAGACTGGAGGAAGGCAAAGTGACTGTAGTCTGCCCGAAGCAACAACTTTAACTATGGTGGCATGTAAATCAGAGGAATAGGGAGGCGGATAGTTACAGCAATTCGACATAATGGCTTGTAGATCGGAGCCAAATTCACGATAAATCCATTCAAGATGCGGCAAGAGACCAGAGATAGACGGTCACAGTTTGCATAGCGATTGATGATGGAGACAATGCCTAATATCTGCAAGCATGTGAATCACATCTTAGGTGCTCTTCAGGTGATGCGACATTGGACGGGCTACTGGAGGCTTGAGGAGTACCATTTGGAGTAAAATGTAAACTGGGGCTGGAACCGAGTGAAATCGGTCAACTCAGAAGATGAGAAACTGATCTATCGGCCCATGAGGGAGATTCGGATAGGAGGTCTGAGTTGGAACAAGATGGACAGCAGGTGTGATGACGCCACACTAAAATCGTCAAAGAGAATACACTCTTGAGGAATGAAATAGAACAAAGTCAAAAGTTGTGATATTCAGGGTGGGAATGAGGAAGATGTAAAAGACCAGAAGGAGTAGGGATAACATAACCGTTCGGCAGAAAGTTGGCCAAGGAATTGATTTTATTTGTCCTTTTTGACGAATTGTATCTTGTGTATGATGATATGGGCCTGGCAGTTGAAGTTCACCACAATCAACTATGAGTAGACCTTCCGTTTCCATTAAATTTCACATAGCCTTGTTTTCCCAAAAGGTATTCTCATCCAGAATAGACTGCAGTTTCGACCTCACAGCTCCAGAGCAATTCGAACCATGACACTGCAGAGTATGATCTCGACCCATGAGTGCCCTTGGGTCAAAGGGTAGATGTAAATTTCAAGGAAGGTCATGCATTTTCCCATATTACATTCTGTGGTGGGATTTTCGATGAATCAATGTTGTATTTACTATAATAGTCAACTTTATTTCGTATTTTGCGTTTAGCGTAGGTTTTCTTGATTATATACATAGGATTACCTTTTGGGAAGCAAGGCTATGTAGAATTCAACGTAAGGTCTATTCATATGATTAAGGACAAT